TTTACAGTATGATAGAACGGTTAGGGATAATTATTACAGATGAATTATTTACCTTTATTGTAATGTTAAGTTTTATGATGTTAAGTTAGATGATAAGGAGGAGTTAAGGATAACAAGTTCTTCTTCTTTCCTTCCTCCTTCCTCGTCTTTTCCTCCCTTCATCTCTCATTTCCTCTCCCTCCCTCCCTCCCTCCCTGCTCAGACCTGGAAGGAGTAGCCAGCTTTAACGCCGCGTCGTAAATGTGTTTAATGAATCGTTCACACATTAAATGTTCGTGTCTGAATGTTAGCAAAACTCGACGTTCAGTGTAATGTTATTTCTGACGTCGAGGAGTGATGAAGGGAGGAGAAGGAAGGGTGAGGGGAGGAAGAGGAGGGGCAGGAAGAGGAAGGAGGAGGGGAGGAAGAGAAGGAGGGGGAGGAAGAGAAGGAGGAGGGGAGGAAGAGGAGGAGGAGGGGCAGGAAGAGGAGGAGGAGGGGGGAGGAAGAGAGGAGGAGGGGGAGGAAGAGAAGGAGGAGGGGGGAGGAAGAAGGAGGAAGAGGGAGGAGGAGGGGCAGGAAGGAGGAGGAAGAGGAGGAGGAGGGGGAGGAGAAAGGAGGAGAAGGAGGAGGGAGGAAGGAGGAGGGGGAGGAAGAAGGAGGAGAGGGAGGAAGAGGGAGGAGGAGGGCAGGAAGAGGGAGGAAGAGAAGGAGGAGGGGGAGGAAGAGGAGGAGGGGAGGAAGAGAGAAGAAGGAGGAGGGAGGAAGAGAGGGAGGAGGGGAGGAAGAAGGAGGGGGAGAAGAGAGAGAAGGAGGGGGGAGGAAGAAGGAGGAGGGAAGAGGGAGGGGAGGAAGAGGAGGAGGAGGGGAGGGAGGTGGTGTGGAGGAAGAGGAGGGGGAGGAAAGAGAAAGGAGGAGGGGGAGGAAGAGAAGGAGGAGGAGGGAAGAAGGGAGGAGGAGGGGAGGAAGAGGAGGAGGAGGAGGGGGAGGAAGGAGGAGGAAGAGGAGGAGGAGGGAGGAAGAGGAGGAGGAGGGAGAAGAGGAGGAGGAGGGAGGAAGGGAGGGAGGAGGGGAGAGGGAGGAGGGAGGAAGAGAAGGAGGAAGAGGGAGGAGGAGGAGGAAGAGGAGGAGGAGGGGAGGGAGGAGGAAGAGGAGGAGGAGGGGAGGAAGGAGGAGGAGGAAGAGGGAGGAGGAGGAGGAAGGAAGGGGAGGAGGAGGAGGAGGAGGAAGAGGAGGAAGAGAGGAGGAGGAGGAGGAAGAGGAGGAGGGAGAAGAGGAGGAGGGGAAGGAGGAGGAGGAGGAGGGAAGAGGGAGGAGGAGGGCAGGAAGAGGAGGTGGAGGGAAGAGGGAGGAGGAGGGGGAGAAAGGAGGAGGAGGAGGAAGAGGAGGAGGGGGGAGGAAGAGGAGGAGGAGGGGCAGGAAGAGAAGGAGGAGGGGGAGGAGAAGGAGGAGGGGAGGAGAGAGAGAGGAGGAGGATGAGGGTGGAAGAGAAGAAGGAGGAGGAGGGGTGGCAAAGTGGAGGCGGAGAAGGAGTGGGGAGGAGGGAAAGAAGGAAGAAGAGAAGGTGGAGGAGGAAACAAAGTCGTCTTACTATCTGTCTGTCCATCGGTCGTCAGTCAGTCGGTCCGTCCGTTCATTTGATTGTTGACACTACGTTGTCCGTGCAATATCCTTTGTTATTGTCCGTGTATTGTAATAAACCTTCACACACAGAACAACAATACATAGAGGAAGAATCTTATTGGTTGTGGTAGTCGTCAGGTCAGAGGTCAAGGTCACAGGAGTAGGTCAGGCGTGGCACTACTGTTACCGGTCTATTCACTTAATAATGTTACTTTATATATCCAGCCTTAAGGTATAGTTGTGTGTTAGATGCCCAGAGTGATAAGAACAAGGCTCAGTATTGTTAGGTGAGGAGGGAGAGTGGTCAGGTGTTTGTTGTGGACCCTCACTGAAGGACTGCCGGGGCGTGAAGGATACTGTGGAGAGTCCTGGAGGATTAGGATGTTGTGTTGAATGTATTTGTCTGCCTGTCTCGCATCTTTATCTCTTCTCTGATTCTCCATTCGTATCTCTCTCTCTTTCTTTCTTACACAAGTACTCAAGCAGACTCAGAGTGCCACGTATACAGTAAACAAACTGACTGGTACACACGGAGTACTACCCAGCCTCTCCTTGTCCTTACTGCTGCTACTACAGGGTCACGAGTCTTGAAGGCCGCCTCTTGTGCATAAAAAGAGAGGTACCAAACTGCCTCAACTAAAGTAACTCGATATAAAAAAATCAAATTCGATCACTAAAGTTGAAATTATGATTCTTAAAACATGTTGTTTAGAACAGAAATTCCCCGAAACCGCGACGGTGTGGTGGTGGGAGGTGTAGTTTAGTAGGTGTGGTGCCACCTAGCGGGGAGTCCCTGAACTACGCCCTCAACACGTCGATATACGCTGTTCCAGGAGCCTGTAATTTACTTATAGCGTGACACACGCTGCAGCTCTGGAATTCTGGATCCAGCAGGCCTTTTAGTGAGTGGAGGGCCGGCACCGGTGGCACTGCTATTAGTAGGTGCTGATATTGGCCGAGACGGACTTGGCGGGATAAGAGTGTATGTGTGTGTGGCACTTGACAATTTAAAGGAAATTTGTGGTATTGGATATTACACACGAAATATAGAAAAGGGACCTGACGCAGCCGAGAGTTATACAGAGACGTGTTGGTGGAAACTGTGAGGAGGTTTAGCTGTATTGTGAGAGCAATACACACAGAAGGAAGTGAACTCTCTCTCTCTCTCTCTCTCTCTCTCTCAACTGTATACAGGAAGACAAAAAAATAAACTTTCCCACTGGACGCGATAACTTGTGACAAACGACGAGGAAAGTTTTTGCACCGTTCATTACCTCGGTGACGGAACGCGGGAGTGAAAAAAAAATAAAATAAAATAAAATTCATACTTTACAAAAATTTACCTTCACAAATAAAAGTGTGAATATTGAGTTGTGTGATGCGTAGAAAATATTTGTAATAGAAATTTCTTTATTGTTTGCAAATATCACCTTAGTATGGTTAGTACCTTTGTTTATATATGTACTGTACATAGTTTATTGATTTTTAGTTTCAGCAATCAGCGTCATGATGTGTGTAACTCACGCCAGGGGTAACAACGGGCTTGTACCTCACACTGAATTACATGAACGAAAGCGTTGTAACTCACCAGATTAGAGAAATACGGCTACAACTCAAATTAGATTACAAAACCGCTCTGTAACTCACTCGATTACAGAACCGCGCTGTAACTGAATACAAAAACGTTCTTTCTCACAACTCACACTAGGATACAGCAACAGAGGCTTGTAGCTCACATAATTACAGAAATAATCGTGAAATAATGTAAAGCCTCATCTACCGGAAGTGACGTATAATGTTGTGTTGGGAGGTCATGACCCACCAAGATACCCGGGCAGTACAGTGACATGGAGTAACTGGTCACGGGGGCACGGCAAGGTGAGTGGGGGCATAGGTGGGCGTTAGGGCATATTATCACCAGCCGCTGTAATGTTGACTTGAGGTGTGAAACTGTATTGTTGCTGTATCAAGTTTGCCTCAGTGTTTGGTGAGGTAGAGTGGGAGAGGGATGGTGGTGGGAGGGAGTTGTGAATGGTGAGGTAGAGTGGTAGAGTAGGATGGTGAGTGGTGATGAGGAAGGCTTGTAGAGTATAGAGGAGGTAGGGCTGTTAGAGCATGGTGGGCCAAGGAGGAGGAGGAGGAGATGAAAGGAGGAAGAGAAGGAGGAGGAGGAGAAGGAGAAGGATAAGAAAGAGGAGGAGGAGAGAGAATCTCAAACTATGAACATTCTCCAGTAAGTACCATATACACACACGGCTATTTTACAACACATAACAAACACACACACAAACAACAACAACACACACACACACACACACACACACACACACACACACACACACACACACACACACACACACACACACACACCTTCACAAATCGCGTCTTTCTTCCCAATTTGAATCGGAGCAGAACACATCAGGAGCTTGTGTCGGAATCTCTCGCTCCTGTGTGTAAAATGGTGAATCAAGTTTTCATACGTAACGGGAATTTTGGTTATGGGGTTTGGTGAAGTTACCCAATACTATGTTAGAGGTTATATAATCGTATAATACACACACACACACACACACACACACACACACACACACGCCAGAGAGAGAGAGACAAAGTGTTCATGGAATTTTAGACAACTTACACCCGTAGTTCATCCAACGTTGTAAAAAATGAATTATTGATAGATTCATGTATGTATGTATGTATGCATGTATGTATGTATGTATGTATGTATGTATGTATGTATGTATGTGAGAGGCTTTAACTAGGGGTCGTTAGTGGCTCAAGACACTTTTTTGACTGTGATTTGTTCATAACTGTGTAAGACTGCACCACAGGTTACTGCCTCAACCTGTATTTAATCCCCATCTGTGTGACCGGATGGCTGATCGCAGGAGCGGCTGACGTCATAGATACACCAGGCTGTGGGTTCTGAGAAGTTTTGTCTATTTTGTGTTGTGTCTCATGTTCACGTTTATGTGTTTACTGTTTGTCATTTGGGTGTTTATTGAAGTTGTGGTACTGAGAAGAATGTGTGTGTGTGTGTGTGTGTGTGTGTGTGTGTGTGTGTGTGTGTGTGTGTGTGTGTGGTGTGTGTGTGTGTGTGTGTGTGTGTGTGTGTGTGTGTGTGTGTGTGTGTGTGTGTGTGTGTGTGTGTGTGTGTGTGTGTGTGTGTGTGTGTGTGTGTGTGTGTGTGTGTGTGTGTTTTGTTGTTATATGTTCAGGGTCATGTTTTTCTCTATTTTCGTCTGTTTTTCAGCGTGATGGTGGGCGGTGGGCGGCGGAGCAGGCTGGTGGGCGGCGGTGAGGCGGCGCGCGCCATGACCGGGGACGGCACGGGCGGGGGGGCGCATGAGCCCAGCACTGGGGCGGCGGGGCGGCACCCTGGGCGTCCCGGACGACCCCCCCGACAAGAGAGCTGATGGACACGATGGACGACGACAAGGAGGAGGGGGCGGCAGGCGTGGGTCCTCGGCGGGGCTCACGCGCCTCCACAGCCGCTCCATGACCTCCTCCCCCAGGCCCTTCATGATCATGCGCTCCCAAAGCTCAACCGCCGCGTCCAACTCAACGTAGGCGGCGTGCGGCACGAGGTGCTTTGGCGCACGCTGGAGCGTCTGCACACCCGCCTTGGCCGCTTGCGGGAGTGTAACACACATGAGGCCATCATGGAGATCTGCGACGACTACTCGCTCATCGACAACGAATATTTCTTTGACCGGCACCCGCGATCATTCTCCTCCATCCTCAACTTTTACCGCACGGGGAAGCTTCACCTGGTGGAGGAGATGTGCGTCCTCGCCTTCTCTGACGACCTCGAGTACTGGGGCATCGACGAGCTGTACCTCGAGTCTTGCTGTCAGCACAAATACCACCAGCGCAAGGAACACGTCCACGAGGAGATGCGTAAGGAGGCAGAGTCCCTTAGGCAGCGGGAGGAGGAGGACTTCGGAGACGGGTGGTGCGCGCCCTACCAGAAGTTCCTGTGGGATCTACTAGAGAAGCCACAGACGTCCCTCGCTGCCCGGGTGAGTACCAGGGCCTCCCGGTCCACACCTGGCAATACTGCCATACACACCTGACTAATTTACTCTTACTACCTGGAAGTTCACTCGAGGTTAAACTTAGCAGAGTAAGTGGACTAACTCACAAAACCTATAGTAATATGGAGTTCATCCTTGCATTTTCTCAGTCTATATACAGTACTGTATATTAACTACTGCAGGTCGTCCTTACATAAAATCTACAAACGTTAACGCTAATGGTGTTTATTCAGTTGGTAATATTTGGAACTATTCACTGTTAACTAATGGAGTAATAATAAATAAAATGCAGTAATTACCTGATGCCAGCATGTCTAAGATATCATTCGTCCCCAGTAGAATGTCGACGTTCAGTAAACACACACCACTGTTAACTGTTCCTCAGTAACGTTCACGTCTAATACGTCACTGCAACAAATAAGGGAAATTGTGATGTGTTAGCGAACAGTTGCAGGTATTGATGGGGTGACCTGTGACCTACACCAGCCATTGTCCAGCGTCAACCCGAGAGCATCAGCTGACGGCGAGAGAGAGAGAGAATCACTTCATTGTGTCTCCTCCGCCCTTGGCTGGTAGTAAAGGCGCTCTCCCATTATCTGAGTCCAGGGATTTATTGCATTTTTTTTTTACTGTAATGATGCAACATGAGCTGCTGTGAGGACTGGCGGAACAGAGCTTTAAAGGAATATAATCCTGTCAGTAGGTAAAGTTGGGGCTCATGGCCACGTGAGGAAAATTATAGAGAAGTCTTTTATAGAAGAAACAGGTAGAGGAAGCGAGATAAAATGATATTGAACTTACATACAATCAAGTTACTTTTGGCCTCTCAATCCCGTTACTTCTGTTCTACTGTTGTTATTCAGAGAAGCGACAACGAGGACTTCTCTTGCTCGTTTATTCGTACACAACAAGAACCTTTTCTCATACGGTATTAATCTAGGCATTATTCTCCCCACTGTACCATGTGTATATCAACAAACCCATTTCCTCTCGCTCAAATATTTCATGAATGCAGGAAAATAATAAACTTTTCTCCCGTGTTCACATGTGAGATGAGGTGAGTAAAGGGAGAGGAGAGAGGGACAATGTGTAGTGAGGAGAGAGAATGTGTGGTGAGGAGAGACCGAGAGAGGCAGTGTGTGCGTGTGTGTGTGTGTGTGTGTGTGCTGTTAGTGTCTCACGGACGAAGAGCCGGTCATTAAATTGTTATCGGCCATTGTAGTGTTTAATCCTCCTCCTCCTCCTCCTCTTCTTCATCCTCCTCGTCCTCCTCAACAAAGCCAGGGTGAGGGACACGTGTCAGAGGCGGGGCGAGGACACGTGTCAGAGGCGGGGCGAGGACACGTGTCGAGAGTGTTGATTGATAGAGAGATAACACGAAGAGATCTTAGTCTAAATGTTCAAAGATAACATAAAAAATAGTGGGTTTAGAGACTTGGCGATGGTTGAGACGAGAAGCAGAGATAACAAGAGGTTTGGAAGTAACGATAAGACACATGGAGATAGAGAGAGCTAACAGGATGCATAGAGACAAAGAAAGAGAGAGAGATGAGGTACGAGACAGATAACACGACCGAGACGGGGAGAGACGGAGGAGGAGGAGGTAGTGGTGGTGGTAGAGGCGACAGTGAGAGGGGGTGGTAGTGGTAGTTGTGGTGGTAATGGGTTAGAGGTGGGTTAGTGGTGGTGGTGGTGGTAGTTGAGCCTCCTTGGCCACCACCACCACCACCACCACCACCACCACCACCACCACCACCACCACCACCACCATTACCACCACCACCACCACCACCTTTCCACTCCTGTCATTCTTATGTAAAAAACAAAAAACAAATATTGACAGATAATTTCAATGACGACTAACCCACACGCGCCACACCGTCACATTACACCACGCCACACCGTCACACCACGCCACACCGTCACACCACACCGTCAGGCCCCCACCCAGCCATTCCTAGCAACACCGCCTGATATCCTGACTGAAAGCGGCAATAGAGATTATCAAAAGAGATCTATATCAGGTAATTAATGGAGGATAATATATTCTAGACTGATATTCATTGCTTCGGGGGGTGAGAAGAGAGAGAGAGAGAGAGATTCGTCTGATTACCATCTTGATTGACTCTGTTCTCTAAGTGGCAGGAAGGCCTGGTCCCCAGCTGTGGCCTCCTGATTGGATTTTGGGTTTCCATTGGCTGCTCTGTGATTGGTTATATTATGATGTCTAAGTAGCTGCTCTCTTATTGGCTCTTCTGTGGAGCTTGTAAATATTGGTGGATTGGTTGAGTTGTCTCTAAAACTAACTTCACTGTTTGGTTGACTGACTGACTTGCTGTCTGATTGGTTGACTGACTGACTGGCTGTCTGATTGGTTGACTGACTGGCTGACTAATTAATTGATTGGTTGACTGACTATTTGGTTGATTGGTTGACTGACTTGCTGTCTGATTGGTTGACTGACTGGCTGACTAATTAATTGATTGGTTGACTGACAAATTGGTTGATTGGTTGACTGACTATTTGGTTGATTGGTTGACTGACTTGCTGTCTGATTGGTTGACTGACTGGCTGACTAATTAGTTGATTGGTTGACTGACAAATTGGTTGATTGGTTGACTGACTATTTGGTTGATTGGTTGACTGACAAATTGGTTGATTGGTTGACTGACTTAATTATCTTCCATTACGGTTTATCCAGTTTCTCTAGGTTGACTTAACACGTGTCTTCTTAATGACTTTAATTCCCAAATGGCTGTTTACCGGATCGCCTTGTTTACCGGATTGCCTTGCTTACCGGACTGCCTTGTTTATCGGAATTACTCGTTTATCGGAACACTGACCATTTCTAACGTTATTATGCCCCTTTATATCGAAGAGAAGAGCATAAATAATCACCTTTGTTTGCTTGTCTGTCTGTAATACTGTCTTGTCTCTCCTTCTGTCTGTCTGCCCTGTCTTGTCTACCTGTAATTTGGTCTGACTGTCCTTCTATTCTTTCTTACTTATTCTTGTCTGTCTTATCTGTCTATATTTCTATCTGTCCGTCCACCGTTCCGTCATTCCGTAACAAAAGAGATTCCACTCATGTCTGTCTGTCTGCCTGTAACTCCTTCTGTCTGTCCATATTCCACTCCTGTCAGTCTGTCCTGTTTTGTCTGTAACTTTGTCTGTCTTCTCTTGTCTGTACTTCTGTCTATCTATCCGTCCAAAAAAATCGTTTCCATTTCAGTACCTTTAGGACGACACCGATGATTAACGTTAAATGTGGCAAGAAAGTTCACGTCATGACTATCTCGAGTCTGCTTTGACGGCCAGGCAGTTCCCAACTTAATTTACCGGAGTTATGGGCCATGATCGAGCCGGATATGTTGACGGGATATATATAACCCTAACTATAATCCTGACCTTAATCGTATTTTTTAATCTTAGCTTAACTTAACCTAACCCTAAACTTTAATCCTGACCTTAATCGTATATTTTAATCTTACCTTAACCTAACCTAACCTGATCTAACCATATTTGAATTTAATCTATAACCTTATCCCAACTGAAGCTAATTGAACCTAACTTTACCAAACCTTAACCTAACCTAACCAAAGAGAGAGAGAGAGAGAGAGAGAGAGAGAGAGAGAGAGAGAGAGAGAGAGAGAGAGAGAGAGAGAGAGAGAGAGAGAGAGAGTAGGCTATTATAACGTTACACTGTAGATGAAAATAACAAAGACCGTTCATATACGACACAACCTTTATCTCTCCCTAGTTGACGTAAGAAGTAGAGATACTGATGATGAAATGAATATATAACTGTCTTACATAATGGAAAATATAATATAAATATCAATAATTCTATACATCTTATGAAGGGGGGGGGGTCGTTAAGGCACAGAATAAAACGACTCCCCGTCGACTCGTAGATCAGAAAACACCAAACAAACGATAACTGCTGATATTTGTACGAGTGAGGAGCTCGTCACTGGTTGTAAAACATATAAATATCAGTTATTATCACTCAGTGTCTTAACAAGGGACAAACGACCCTCATCATCTCGCGTGGATTAGATAATGTAAACAATTATCACATTTTCCTCGCTGAGTCTCGTCCCTTTATCGAGCTATACACCGCCTCCCTCCTCCTACAGCTGCTGGAGGAACAAGAGGGAAGTGAGCTGGACAAAGAGTAACATATCGTTAAGGTTCCTCCCCTCTTTGTTGCCCGGGTCTGATGGGTGACTCGCCATGAGGGAGGAGCAGGGAAAGGGCAGGGTCTGGGGTGAGGAGGGAAGGGTCTAGGTTAGTCAGGGGAGAGGCGAGGCTTAGGGCAGGGGGTGGAAAGGGGAGGGATGAGGGGAGGGTCTCTGGGGTGGTGAGGAGATAGGCAAGGGGACCGCTTAGTTAGAGCCAAGGGATGGTATCCTTTTTCCCTTTGTGTGTGTGTGTGAGCCTAACTTCCTTTTCTGTAAATAGTAAAAGGGGGAAAGGGTGGTGGAGGAGGGGGGGAGAAGTGGTGGAAGAGGGGGAAAGGGGTGGTGGAGGAGGGGAGGAGAGTTGGTGGAGGAGGGGGAAAGGGGTGGTGGAGAAGGGGGGAAAGTTGGTGGTAGAGGAGGGGGGAAAGTTGCGGTAGAGGGGGGCATAAGAGGGACACTTAGCCAGCCGCTGTTTGTCTGGCCCGAGGATTAGGTCGACATGTTTCTGGGAATCCTGTTGGTAGGGAAGTCCTTCTTGGTCCTGTCGCCAGATCCTTTACTGTACCGAAGAACTTGATCAATGGGCTTTTGTTTACCCCTTAGCTGGTCGTCGTGCGCCTGAGAGGGAGAAAAAAAAAACCCGAACCATAACAAAAACATAAATACCTTTCCATTTTATCTTGAAGTATTGAATGGATTTTTATTGTGGTTGTTGCTGTGGGATTTTTTGTGGTAGATATAATGGTGTGGTTGATTTATGAAGAGATTTTATATTATATATCACGAGACTATGTGGTAAGT